AGCTTTCAACTTAGGCAAACCCTAGTCCTAGAGATCAAAAGAGCCTGACACAGGGAAAGGAGGACCCTACTTTAAAGGGGTCATATGATGCGATTTCAATTTTTCCTTTCTCTTTGGAGTGTTACAAGCTCTTGGTGCATAAAGAAGATCTGTAAAGTTGCAAAGACTAAAGTCTCAAATCCAAAGAGATATTCTTTATAAAAGTTAAGTCAACCACGCCTACCTAAAACGGCTCGTTCTAACACGCACCCACATGTCTACGTCACTGTGTGGGAAGATTTGCATAACGCCGCCCAAATGTTCACGCAAAGAAAGAAGGCATAACTTTATTCTCGCTGTAGTATTGTAGCCGCCACCGCCATGTCGTCAAGGCGCTGTGTGTTTCGTTGTGAAAGAGAAACTACTTTGTTTGGCACAATGGGGAGGGTACTACTCTAATTTCAACCCAAACACAAGGGAGCCACCTACCTAAGGAACCCCAGCAACTGGGAGGAAGCTTCAACCTGGTTCTAATAAGGGAGCTTCCTACTTAGGGAACCACAATATCTGGGGGAGACAGCTTCAAATTCATTAGTGTCAAGGAGCTTCCTACTTAGGGGTGCCCAATGGGAGAGGCAGCTTCAACCTGAACACTACGAAGGAGCTTAAGGAACCCCAATATCTGGAGGAGGCAGCTACAGCTTTGTTACTAATTTCCTACTTAGAGGACCCCTCCAAAAAAGGGGGAGGCAACTTCAACCCAAATACTATGAAGGAGAAATACTATGAAGGAAGTTCCTGATTTAGAGACCACCAATGTCTGGGGGAGGCAGCTTCATTGCTGTCAGGGAGCTTCCTACTTAGGGGACCCCAATATCTGGGGGAGGCAGCTTCAACTTGGAAATATTCCTTTGTAGCGAATCAGCTCATGGGGAAATATGAATAATTAATCATAACTAGTTATAATTAATTATAAATATTTAGATCCGCTGTAGATATTTACTTGACCTCTCAGGGTCAACTGTCTGTCACAACATACACGATGACCTGAAGGCTATGTGTGTTCATTCAAAGAAAGGTTTTCCTATGGATTAATTAGTAGAAAAGTCAATTTCTACTGTGCATTGTGCCTCTTGCTATGGAACATGCAGTGATTTTCCCTACTCACATTCCATCAGGTCGTAAATGGCTCTGGTCTTAGCAGAGGTGTCGGGGTTGCCATGGTAACCAGTGGCCTGCGGTCATTCGCAGACATCCTGGCGCCCAGTCTATTGGGTGAGGGGTCTGTGACGACTTGTTAATCTAATGAATAACTGATTTGTTAAATCAAATGAAAAATTGTGTTTTTGATTGGTCCAGACGCTACACCTTGTACACACATATTCCTTGTACATTCACATGATTCGCATGAGGAAACAAATTAATGCGGGCCGAATATGGTTCATAATCTGAACCATATGCTTCATAATCTCTTCATTTTCCACTGAATATGGTTCATAATCTCTCCACCTCAGACTCACGGTAACAGGGTGGTTATGTCCAGACAGAAATCGCTCCTCATAAGTGGGACGGGCTGGCTGGGAGGACTCCATTGCTTCTTTGTCCTCCTCAGTCACATCCTTCTCCTCCTGGGTTGATGCCAGTACAGCGCTGCCGGAGGATGTGCTGGATCGGAGGATGTCAAAGAAAAATAAGGTTAACGACGTACTACAGGCGCCCTTTTAAACTGACGGTCACAACAGCACTGACACCACAGACTGATGTTGACCAATGACACTGTCGCATTTAAACACATGCTTCAGACGCCGGTCACGATGATGGTGTTCCCCTTAGCGTCTTGTCAGGCGCATTGCCATTCTAAAGGGAACTCATTCGAATTACTTTTTATAAATTTATTTAAATTACCCATTTTTTTAAATCATTGTACTTTGACATTTTTATTTTGTATTACAGTAATAAGAATTTATTGAGAACGGGAATTACGAAAAAAACTCTATATGTATTATATTAAAGAGAATTTGGGATGAAATGTGCATGAAGTCACACTATAAATAATATTAGGTCCTTAAACTAGGCTTAAATTTCCATATACATTGCATATTTTGAATATTTATTAATTTATAGGGATGAAATGTGACCTGAACATGTCTTTGCGATATTTAACTACTCCAAGATCAAGATAAAAAGGAGGATTTTGCTAGCAAAGCAAAATATTTTGAGATCATTTTAATTGCATGCATACAAATGACCTTGGAAAGGAATAATCTAGAGGGAGAAAATAGATCAAACATCTTGGAAGTGGACTTTGGGATGTTGATGTGTGTTTAAATAGACACTACATTGCGAATCTTCTACCCTGTTGGATACTGTGGGCAGAAATTGAAGGGGCATTTTGCAGGAGAACTCCCCAAGCTCGGCCACGATGAGCCCACAGTATCTGTGTCACCATGCCTTCGTTTATCAACGTCCGCCGGCTTTTGCTGAGTAGTTTGTTTTTGCTGTGTGCACCATATATCACCTGTCAGGTCTAATGGGGGGCAGTGAGGAGGACATATGGATGCACAGCATTCCCTTGAGCCTCTCCTCTCCTCCTCCAACCTGAGTACAGATAGATCCTCTTACAATGAAATCCGTACAGCACTGAGGGAAAACTTGAGGTTAATTGATCTATAAGGATCAGATACTGCTATGCTACAGTTTAAGTTGCCTACTAATATTGAATTGTATTGTTTAAATATTCACAGTTAAACACATTCAAAGAAACACATGTTTCTAATAAGTTATGATTTTTCACACCGTTTGTCAAGGTTGGGTGAAGGGATATAGCAAGTACTCAATTGTGCAGAGAAGATGGCTATTTATTAGCCAAAAAAAAAAAAACTACCCCACGGGGGGAATAACACTACCGGCAACTTGACCGGACGAAAACAGGCAAGGTACATGATGACAAACATTAGCCAACAAACTGGCACAGGACTGCAAACACAATGAGAATAAATAAGGAGCAAACAAGGCAGGTACCAAGGGAGGACAGGTGATGTAAATTAACCAATAATCAGATAACAAGAAGGGCGGGGTCAAGACAATATATATGAGAGCACATGGCACACAGAAACCAACAAAACAAAAGCCATGTGCTCAACACAAAACCAAAACACAAGCACATGGCCAGAAAAACAATCACAAGCCATGTGCTTGAACAAAACAAGATGGGAACATGCAGCTAATGAGAACACTTATAAGCTGCGAGTTCACACAAAACATGACAACAAGAAAGCAGTGAAAAACACAAGCTGCGTGCTACACAACACAAGACAAAACATAATATGAAAGCACGTAGCCATTAAAAACATGAACATGGTGTGGGGGAGGGGTTACGATTAGGCAATCAGGTAGCGACTTCAAAGAGGGGGGTAATGATTTGGCAGGGGGTCGAAATTGGGCACAACATCTGGATCTGAACACCACGCTCCAACATGAAAGAAGGAAACAGGGCAGACGAGAGAGCGCACGGCTCGAGCACACTCGAAGCCATGAAAACAAGACATGACAGGACGTCAGGGCTCTGTCACAAATCACAAGTAAACTAGACTGAAGTGACAGAACCCTGACACCGTAAAATTTTCTTGAGGGCTGTTAGAATTGCTGAGCACATCATATCTCAACCTCTGACAGAAATCTTTTGGGAACAAACCTTATTTTTTTATCTTATCATATATCTTATATTCATTAAAGGAATAGTTCACCCCAAAATTAAAATTTGCTGAACATTTTTTTGTACATCTAAGATGTAGATGAGCTTGTTTGTACCTCAGAACAGATTTGGAGAAATTTAGCCTTACATCACTTGCTCAGCAACAGATCCTCTGCAGTGAATGAATGGGTGCCGTCAGAATGAGTCCAAACAGCTGATAAAAACATCACAATAATCCACAAGTAATCCACACCACTCCAGTCCATCAGTTAACATCTTGTGAAGCCAAAAGCTGCGTGTTTGTAAGAAACAAATCCATCATTAAGGTATTTTAACTTTAAACCGTTGCTTCTCTCGCTTTCTACAGTGAAATGCTCTCTTGTCCTCTAACAGCTAAATCCATTATATTTGTTCAAAACTGTTTTGGACCGTTTTCGCTTGTAAATGGTGTTTGATCTGTGCATATTTCTCTCCTGATTCAGACTAGATTACTTTTTCACTGGAGAAAGCAATATTATGGACAGAGGTATTGTAGCCAGAAGCAGCAGTTTGAAGTTAAAATACCTTATCAATGGATTTGTTTTTTTACAAACACGCAGCTTTTGGCTTCACAAGATGTTAACTGATGGACTGGAGTGGTGTGGATTACTTGTGGATTATTGTGATGTTTGGACTCTCATTCTGACGGCACCCATTCACTGCAGAGCATCCAGTGGTGAGCAAGTGATGCAATGCTACATTTCTCTAAATCTGCTCCCATGAAAAAAAAAATCTACATATTGGATTCAGCAAATTTTCATTTTTGGATGGACCATTTCTTTAAAGTAAATTTATTCATGCATTAGTTTATTACCTTTTTCTGCATGAACACTGTTTTAATAATATTAATAATAATAATAATTATTATTATTATTATTAAAGCAGTAACATTATTATTATGCAATATTTGTATTCACAAAATAAAACAAATAAATAAAATGTTAAATGTTATTTTTGATTTAGCCCATTCATTTACAGGAAACTTGTTCTAAATTGTAGCTCATAATGTGGCAACAGTATGAATTTTAAATTGATCTTCTTTTGATAGCCTACATGTGGTTCTTTTAATTTATATTCACGTTGTATTTAAATAAACAAGCAAGCAAGCGTGTTTATGTTAAGTCATTCCCAGATCCTCTCGTACAAACTAAAAATGAAACATTAAAATGCTAAATGACTTTTATACCCATATATCTGTATATTCGTGTCAAACATGTCCTCTCACAATGGTAATTACTCTTATTTTCATAGCTTGATATTTCCCATCGATAAAGTGTGTGTGGTCTGCAGTGGCCGAAGGGACCCCGGAAACGCGCCGCTCTAGCTGCAGATCCAGGAAGCGGAACGAATGAAGTTCATTCTCACAGCTGGTGATGGCGGATGCTGTCGAAATAGAGACCATGAAGAATTATAACATAGCGTTTGAGAGGATAGACCCGAGCATAAGCCGCTATCCCTACTGTATTGTATGGACCCCAATCCCCGTGTTATCGTGAGTTATCCACTGTTGCTTCTGCTTCATGTTGATGGTTTGAAATCGATTCAGTCCCGTAAGAAAGAGGTTTGTGTTTATGATGGACGCATTACACACCAAACATTACACCAGCTAGCGATGCGTCGCGTCGCGTCGCGTCGCGTCATCGAGCAATTGCGGTTGCAGTGACCTGGTATGTCGCGTCGCGTTGCGTTAACAGCAGTGTAAAAAGGTTTATTAAACATTAACTGATTTCCTGACAAGAAAAACCTCGTCGCTGTGTTTAAAGGAGTAGTTCCCAGACGGAAATACAATTCTGACATCATTTACTCATTTTCATGTTGCTCCAAACCTGTACGACTTCATTCCCTGCAACACAAATTCAAATATTCGAACACCGAAGACACGCTTTTAGAATTATCTCTATTCTTTGATACAGTAAGAGTGGATGGAGATTGGAGCTGTAGTGCTCCAAAATGACAGAAAGTAGTCAGAACTCATGTCCTATAGGTCTTCTGAAGTCATATTATAGTTTTGTGTGAAGAACAGAAGGAACTTTAGACTGTTATGCTAAAACTGGATGGGTTTGTAATTAAATTAAAGGGGTCATATGATGCTTTTTTAAAGATCATTATTTTTTGTATTTGGTGTAACAGAATATGATGACATGCTTTAAATAGAAAGGAAAACTTGAAATCGCATCATATGACCCTTTTAAAGTAAGGTGTGAGAAAACGGGTCAAACAAGGGCGGAGTATAATTAAGTCACAGTTTTCATATTATCATTGATGTGAAACTTGCTGTAACTAATCGTGACAACAAATATTTGAATGTACCAGGGTTACATTGTCATGGAAAACCTGAAAGTATGAGGACATTTGTACATTGCATCTTCCAAATGTAAAAAAAAAAAAAGTAATGAAAATTAAACAAATCCTAAAAATTCATAGAACTTTCTGTAGTAAATTTCATGATTTCTAAGCCATTTCACTGGCTAAAAATTGCTTTTTGTGCATGTGAATTTTATCCGTCCCTATCCTTAATCCTGATCCAGTAAACATGAATGATTATAAAAGCTATTTGAGACGATCAGGAGGAAATCTTTTATGGCCTGTTCACACCAAGAATTATAACGATAACTATTGTTAACTGAAAGTGATTCCTCTGTGTCGTTATATTGTTATTATAGATGTGGTTAAAGTGATTGCAATGTTTTCTCTTCTCTTTACATAAAAGTAGTGTGGAATTACTATGGTACAGTGATGGTTTTATTTAGATACACTGTAAAAAAAATTCCGTAAAATTTACGGTAAAAAACCGCAGCTCTGCCGGAATTTTACCGTAAAAAATACGGTAGCAACACGGTAGCAACGTTTTAGGTTTTACGGTTTTAACTTAAATTTACAGTTAAATACCGTAATTTCATTAACTGATATAATGTTAATATACCAACCCATTGAAGTACTGCAATATGTTTTGTACCTTTGTAATACGCTGATAACCAGCAAATGCAGGTGGTGATGAGAAAGTCACATGATGAACCAAAGCCCATCACAAGCAGCTTTTAAATTATAACATGTATAGAAGGTGCACAGTGCCATTCACACAAACACTAAACACCATCACGGTAACACACATGAAACTGAAATAATGCAATAAACATTCATTTAACAACATTAGGTGTAACACACAACCCTAATATACAAAACCGATAAGAAAAAACTAAGAAGAAACATAGTTATTTCAACAAAAAAACATCAAATTTGAAATGTAACGCAGGGAATTCTGGGAATGTCAATTTACGGTTATTCACTGTAAATTATACAGTCTTTTTCACTTCCAAAATGTGGAAGTGGGTTAAAAATTAATTCTAAAATTAATGTCCAATACATGTAATGTCCAATACAGCTTTTCACCGTATATAGTAAGGGAATTTACCGTAAACCATTTAACAGGTTTTTGCTGTAGCATTTTTACAGTCTTTTACCGTTAAATTCACGGTCATTTTTTACAGTGTAGATTTAGATGTATGGTGCTGAATGATTACCATGTTAATACTGTGGTATTTACGCCTGGGTATTTTAAAGAATACCATAGTAATACTTCGATAATTGTAGTACCATGGTACCTTTTAGAATCAGAATCAGAAAGCGCTTTATTGCCAAGTATGTTTGCACATACAAGGAATTTGTTATAGTGTCACAAGCTTCCAGTACACAGAGACAACAACAACACACAGATTTAGGGTGATAAATAAGTATAAGGTTATTGCATAGTATAAGGTTTTAATACTTTTAAGTAAAACCATTACCATTTTGTAATGCATAGCAGTAATTCTATAACATACATTATAATCTATGACCTTTAGTTGTAAACACGACACCTTCGTTGAATCTTTGATGCATTTGTCCTGGGTTGCAGCTTGAGTTCACTAACATCACCATTAGGCTATGTTCTGGTCTGGGATCAGAATCCAAACTCCTTCTGATAATCACGTATGCTGAGATGAATCTGATTACAGCTGATCTTAGACCAGTCTCCTGGTGTCCTCCACTGCAGATTGTCTCAGTGTGAGAGTTCCTCGCCCCATGTCTTCTTCTTCTCCTGTATTTGGGTCGGCGACTTGCTCTGTAGGACACTCGGTGATGAATATGCACACAGGAGCATATCTGGGGTGCCGGCGTATGCCCTACTCCACTTCACACACTCCACCGGGGCTGTTTTATCCAGGAAATTCATACTGTTATTCATATTGCACCCCTGAGAGCTCTGCTGATAATCATTTTTTAATCATTTTGGCAGGAATTTTGGTCTAGTGTCTAATCCGCTTCCTTATCTGGTTGTCCTTTGGATTGCCGGTTCTGTCGTCCTGCTTGTTTCAATTCCAAAGCCAAAATAACATGAATATGAATCAGCAGGGGAAGCTGGATTTTGGCCAGGTGTTTGATATTGAAAAGGGCATTCTCCATGCAGCATCAAGCCTTATGCTTTTAACTGTCCTCCCTTTTTTTTAGCAATTTCCTCTGGCCTTTTTTGGCTCTAGCCATGCAGATGCAGTAAGTGAGGAATAATGTTCTGTCTGTTATCATAAAGTGAATCCTCATGCAAAGTGTAACGTCTTGTAGCACCCTGAAGGTTTTATTTTATGCCTGACTGTGCTCAAAAAATATTTGGGCTTAAATTTAAGATTTATGTATTTGAATTGCATATAAAATTTCCATTCATTTGGATTACACAGTTTCCACATGAATAAACTAATAAACCTAATGTGATGCATATTTGTCAATCATACACAAATGACAGTGACACAGGTAAGATTGCTGTAATAGTGCTTATAAACTGAATGTGTTTTAAATACAAAATAACCATGCTTATATATTTATCATCAATATTCCAATTTGTTTTAGTCTCATTTATTTTAACTAATTGATTATTGATTGTTTCACTGTCAGCCATATTACAACCATATTCATACGTTTTAACTGAATAAACTTAATTTTCACAGTGAACAGATTTATGCTGATTCTAAGCGATGTGAATAAGTATTATTATTTAAATAAAAAAATATTTAAATAGTTAAAGTATGCCATCATTGTACAGAACTGTTTTATTAAAAATATTTATGGACATTTTATTTTTTTAAAAATAGAATAGCAGTTATTACAGACGATGCAAAAATGATGTAACAAAATAATTTTATTTTAGTTTTCTTTCTTGTTTGTTTGTTTCCATAAAATTGGAATTGGAGTTTGTTGTTTTTAATCCATGTACATTAGCTTTGAGGTCATCTATATATTAGCATACTCCTACACTAAAAAAAAAATTCTATATATATTCAAATATACAGTATATATATATATATATATATATATATATATATATATATATATAT